AGAGAAGGACGGAGCGAACTGCTGAGCAGTACACACGTCCCTTGGTTGATAGTCGGATGTCACGCCTACGCCAGAGACGGTGTAAGTTAGCGAAAGCAGCCCGAGCTTTCTGGATCCGTGCTGTGATTTCGTCACCAATCAATCCGTTGGTGCTGACACAACTTCCCAAATAGGTGAAGTGGTCAACGTGTTCTATCACTTCACTCCCTATCACTAAGCTTGGAGTTGACGTAGTCCAGTCCTGTAGCAGCATCTTACATTTCACAGGGGCGAATCGCATGCCAAACATACGAAGATTGCTGCTCAAGGTGTTCAGAAGACTCTGCATTTTGTCAGCGTCCTCTCCTAACAGGACTATGTCGTCTGCGTATTCTAAGTCTATAAGACTATTCCCTGGTAACAAGTCGATTCCTAAGTCGTTAAGTTCAGTTAAGGATACTTCCATTAGCATATCTATGATGAAGTTAAACAGAAAAGGGGAAAAGGGACATCCTTGACGGACACCACTGGTTGTTATCAATTCAGATGACAATTCCCCATAAGCCCTTACACAGCTACGTGAGTTTGAGTAGAGTGCCTTGATTAGTGCAATGTACTTTCTTGGCACTCCCTTCATAGTCAAACATTGCCGTAGTACCTCTCGATCCACGGAGTCGAAGGCCGCCTTCAAGTCAAGAAATATGGCAATTGTTGGACGCCTAAAAGTGTGCCTATGTTCTAGGATCTGTCGGAGAGTGAAGATATGATCTATGCACCATCTACCTGGCCTAAAGCCCGCTTGATTTTCCCTCGTTTGTTCCTCCCGAGTTCGGCTTAGTCTGTTCATGATTACTGAGTCTAGGATTTTAGAGACTATGCTCGTTAGGTTGATTCCTCTATGATTATCACATGAGGACTTATCTCCCTTCTTGAATACTGGTATGATAAGTGACTTACCCCAGTCTGATGGAACCGTCTCTGATTCCCAGACGTTACCTAGTACCTTAGTTAAACTACATACTAGCATGTCACCCCCATATTTAAACACCTCCGGAATAATTCCGTCGGGTCCTGCCGCTTTGCCTCGTTTCAAATTACAGAAAGCTTTAGTGACCTCACTTACAGACGGCGGGCCAGTGTCTATGTCCCATTCGGGTGTGTGCTGGATGGTGGGGAGGCTCACTGTGGCTGTAGGCAAGTTAAACTGTTCCTCGAAGTGTTCTTTCCAGCGTTCGAGGCGTCTATCCTGAGAGCTAATTAAGGAGCCATTTTTCTCAGAAATAGTCTCACTTATGATTTGCCATCTCCCACCCGTTTCCCTGATGAGTCTAAAGAGTTGCCTAGTGTTGCCTATCGCAGATGCTTTTTCCATCTCTTTCGCCTTTGTCAACCACCACTGTTCACGGTCCTTGCGGAGACTTTTCGTAAGTTTCCTTTTGTGCAGCTTTCGCTCCTCATTGAATTCGGAGCTCGCCGGAATAAGTTTTCTAGCATCTATCAGTTCGGATGAGGCAGTCGAAATCCAATGGTTTTTACTCACCTTTGGATTTACCTTATTCACAGCTTTTACAGCTGTATCTATGGCTGACTGAATATTTTTCCAGGCTTCTTCAGGGTGAGCGCAGCTGTCAAACTCAGATATGTGTTTAGCTAGTTCTTCCTCAAATAGGGACTTAGTTTCTTGATCGAGATGGGGACGTGAAGGGTTTACCGCCAGCTGTTTCCTACGTCCGTTCAGTCGTAAGCACACACGAGCGCGGACCAGTGCGTGATCGGTATCTACACACGTGTTCCAGAAGGAGCGACAATCCCCTACCGACCCACGCCAACGATAGCTTATTGCTATGTGGTCTATTTGTGTCCAGCGTTGGTTTGATGATGGGGGTCGCCAGGTCAAACAGTGTCTCTCCTTGTGTTTGAAGTTAGTGCTTACAAGAAACAAATGATTATCTGAACAGAACTGTAGGAGACGGTCACCGTTGTCGGTTCGCTGGCACGGAATTCCGTATGTGCCACCGACATTCTTCTCAGATTGACACAATTTCCCTACTTGGGCATTAAAGTCACCAGCTAAAACGACTATATCTGAGCGTTTAGCCTTTCGCAGCAAACTATACAGCTTTTGGTAGAACTCATCCTTCGTTTCATCCGAACTGCAGTCAGTGGGGGCGTAGGCGGAGATTGTCGGCGACCATACCACGTTGAAAGCACCGGTTCTCGTGTAGTTAATATTACTGTACTACACTGTGTGATTTATCAAAATAAAATCTTATCCATAAGGGTGATAGAAGTACATAGTAAGATATATAAAATTTGATGAGTTGTAATCATGATGAACATAGAAACGAAGGTGAATTTGACACAATGTGAGTTCTAAGAAAGTTACAAAGTCATAAAGAGTTAGATGACAAACAAAAATCTAGTTGATGTAGGACAACAAGGTTGTTAATTGGTTGAAGAGTAATCCTTTTTTGTATGTAGAGCTCCAGCTTCTCTATCCTCGAAATGATCAATTTCAGAGTATCAATGGTGATTCATGAAGCATTTCAGACAGCTTTACTATCCGTCTGTGTAACGTATTACGTCTAGGGTCAAATGAAACTGATCATAGACCATATGGAATGATTCTTATATTAAAGAATGATGAATAAAGCTTTTTCTATAATTCCTAAATCTAAATGCTTCAGACATCTCACATATTGCCCACATATAATCAAGTGATTTTGATAACTTGGCTAGACAGTTTGAAAATGCGTCACAAGCAAATGGAACAAATTCACTGATTGGCAAGTAACTCTGTTTTGTGATTCAAGTAGTCAGGAGTGACAGGAGAACACCATAGTGTTTAGTGGTAGAATTGTTTATTCGGCAAAATGATGTACAATAAATGGCGAAATATAAAAATCTCCCAGTGAAACTTCAATTTGCAAAACTCTGCTTCTTTTGTCTTCATTTCTCCTTTCAAAACTCAATTCGTCTACCCACTGTTTTAGATACTTGCAGTAGATGTCACCAATATACTACTCACAAATTCTTGTCAGTAGCACAGGCACAAAAATAGTATGAAGAAGACAATAAGAACAAATTTTGTAAATTACACTTTATTCTGGCTCCATTCTCTTCAGTTCTATATAGACTATTAACACAGAGTTCATATGAATTGAATCTACAGACCATTGGTAAGCAGTAAAAAAAGACACTATGGTAAACTTAATATAATAGTTAGTTAAAAATTGGTAGTTTTAGGAGATTTTCTCCTCGTGTAATTAAAAAATGTATTAAAACTACAACGGCAGAAGAAGTTTAATAAAAAAACACTTAACTCATTCTAGAATTTAATCCTATTTGAACTGTAGCAATTGGGTGTAAACTAACTACTCTGAAGTAATAAGTCATACAAAATGGATAGCACGATCCAAATAACGACCAATATAGTCACTGCCTTAGTTGGTTAACTACAATGTAACGATAGTTATGCTGTCTAGTCCTTAAAGCATCATCCTAGTCCACTTTGATTGGACACTAAGTGGTTGGAGGCGATCCTTGGACCCCATCAATATGGAATACCTGCAATCTCGAAGGTACTAATGTCTTCCTTGAAACTCAGACCCGTGAAAACCAGTGTTGCAGTTAGAGACATCACTGAGCTATTTAAGTCAAAATTGTGATAAGAGATAGTTATGACTTGGTTATTAACTATAAAACTATCGGTCATTCTAATAGAATTTTTAACAAGTACATCACTTTACTTAGTGACTACGTTGCAAAATTATTTTGTTGGATCAAACGCAGACGAAACACGTGCAGAAAACTAACAAGTTTTCAATACTTCTTCGAATTGTGTCAATGTATAGTGAAAAGTACTCTGAATTCGATAGATTCCTTTCAAACCCTCCAGATTGACAGTAACCTAGTGCTCTTTTTCGATCAGTTTTCAGTTCGATTTCTTGAGGTTAAAAATGAAAAGGAGTGGTTGATGAGATCAATTCTAGTGTGGTGAGAGCTGTCTACTAGCCAAATTGGTAGACAGTAATTTACGTCAATATTTACGTTCCCAAGATTTGTCGTGAGAAACAACCAATCGGAAGACTGTGTTTGTTTGCTTAAATATCCATAGTAATGTACATGAAAACATATATAAATAAGCGTTGATTTCCTTAATAAATGATCTGTTGTCTGACTCTTGCCTTCTGTCGTTACACTAGTATGAGGATAATGGCTTATTGTAATGGATGACAGCCAATCAAAATTTATAAATTGTTCCCGATAGAACATTCTGATTTCTCCTTACAAATCTACAAATTAAAAAAGCCAATGAGAACATCCCAAACCTATCTGTCAACTTATGCATACAAAAAACTCCAAGTAATTGACCAGAGGAGATCGTATTGAGTATTCAGTGAAACAGTTTAAGCCCATTTTTGACAAATCCGCAAAAGAGGTCCTTATTCCAATTTTGGCATAACAAATATTTTGAAATAACTGTTTTTTTTTCTTTGATAAACTGAAACGGTAGAAGACAAAAGACTTTGTTAAGAAACAGTGTCTATTTGGGAATCGGTAGCTCTATAAAGCCAAATTATGTAAACCTTATCTTCAACGCACCATTTGCACAGATCTTCTGTGTTTTGCTACTTCTGTCCTTCATATTGTGTTTCTTTGTAATCCTTTCACATATTCCATGTATCTCCACAACGCTGTATCACTTGCCTTTTCTGACATCAAATGCATCTCCTTGTTATTTGATGTTTTTACGCCGACTAACGTCTCTTTATATACTACTGATAAATCTTATCAGTAGCACTCGCCATCAAAAACATGTTTTCTTTCCTATCTGACTACAAGGGCTATATAATGCTTTCACAATTAGATTTTCAGTGAGTAAGTCACAACCTCCAACTTCGCTTCGCTAACCGAGATATTGAAAACCAGGTTAATATCATCAACACTTCTTAGTACACAAATCTCCATAAAGGCTTCCAAAATTCACTTTATACTCTTCCTGGTATAAATGTAATGTATGTATCAGGAAAGAGAAATCACTTCATCGATAACACTAACAAATAAAACTCCCATCTATAGCACACCGAAATGAGACAAGAAAGAACGACACTGAAATATTCAACTCCAATTCATCTCTAACTATGCTTGAATGCAGTCTTTATATATTTCTTTGGAAAAACTGATGTGTGCATTTAAAATTGACGCACACAAACACATAAAACAGAGGAGTAAACCAAAGGTAAAGAGGAAACTAAAAACAAACTTTAATAACATTTTAAATCTCTCTCTTTAGGATAAAATGTCATTGTCTTTTTTTTATAAAAAAAACCAAACTACCATGTAACAATATCATAAAATTATATATTACATTGAGGCAGTAACCCCTCCCCTCACATCCTCTTCATATAATATTTCAAAATAAACTATTACACACACACATTGGATAACAGGCACAGTATGATAAAAAAAGTTGGGTTGCAAAAATTTTTCTTTCAGTCTTCATTGTTGTCATATCTGTTTTCCAATAGAAAAATCTATTCACACACACACATATATATATATATGATGATAATAATGTACAGAGTGACGGTTGTATGTAGCCGATGACAAAACACACACCCATCGACACATACGCACATTACCATCATTTATATGAATCGAATTAAAAGTGTTGAATTGAGAAGACTGCCATCTTCTAGGGTTTGATTATCTTCAGTTAACTCACGACTTGGATATGACGTCATCAATGAGAATGTTTTATATGCCAACTCTGGTCTTTCACTATAGACAAAGAGAGAGATAAAAATAAAAAGACAGAAATACAGAAGAATAATAAATAACAATATGTGGAATGAGCACTTTGTCAATACTATAAACAACTAAAGCAATTCAGATACTGAACTATGAGTGACTAGAACATAGGTTATTATTCAAAGACAAGTACACATTCATTTATCTAGTTATTTGGAGTAAGAATAATTTCCAGTAGGATTTGATGGCCTGCGATTGCCTTCACGAAAGTGACCCAGGTTCAGTTCCCAATCAATGCATTCTTAAACATCGCTTAGGTTTAATAAGGCTGGTTTTAAAAAATGAAGGTTGGGAGTGAGGCAACTACTACTAAAAAAACTCAAACTTGAAAGCACCCCATGTTCTACCCGGAAAGGATGTGATTAGAAACACTGATTGACTGTCACTCAGTGGTGAGTCGCATAACCTTACTAGGTAATAAGTGCCATGAAATATGATGGTAAAACCTTGGAATTATAACTTTTTTTTTCCTATTCTATTTTTGTCTTTAAATAGGTATAATCTCATCGTTTTGTTTTCTTAGTTCTTCAGGATTGCTATCAATTTCTCCATTTTCTGTTAATTTACTTTAATCTTTTGCCTGGTTGTTCGTTTTTTTGAAGTACTTTCAATAAATGACCTAACACTTGCAGAGAGATGGTATTTCATCTGTTTTTTGTTGTAAAAGATTCCATTTATTGAAAGATAAAGAACTTTTGAATATTACTATAATACTCTTCGACAAATAGTGACTGACTGGTTTCAACATAGAAATTTGCAGAGATGTGCAGTAGTTTGAGTTGCCACACTCCCTCCTTGAAGCACACAAATCAAGAGAAGAGAGATTCAAAAGAGAGAGATAATAAACAGAAATGTGAGGCAAAAAGAATAGTAATATGGGGAAGAACAATAGAATTTCATTGGATATTATAAATCACAAAGAGTGAATGCATCTGCACTAGCCATTGAGAACGATTTTGAGCCATACCACCAATTGTCTCCAGCCACTGGCTCTTACTATCCTGAGGACGCCAACCAAGAAATCGACAGATCAAAGAAATTATTGTTGACTCTATAGTAGTGACAAAATGTATTTATTGTGCGATTGTAGATATTATCATACAAAATGTACCTTGATATCTTATGATTACACGCGTTATTCAGAGAAATAAAACAAACATCATTTTTTTTCAAAACAATTGGGCAATTTGAAAAATCATCATGTCAACAATTTCTTTTGATAGGCTAATATATTTGTTTAAGTGCATCTTATATTGAATATAATATGATGGAGGTGGTAGAAGGTATAAATCCTGGGAAAGGAGTACACTACTAAGCTAAAAAAAATATAAAGACGTGGATGTAAACAGTTATCATACCATCCTAATATATCCAGCAACAAATGGAACACTGATAAAGTCTAACAGAGAGATAATAAGATCAGGCTCATATCAGCACACTGAGAAAAATACAAATAAAATCAGAGACAAGCAAACAGAAGTTGTACCTAAAAACATAAAACCAAAATAAAAACTGGCAATAAAATTTTGTATATTTGCATGTAATTGTAAGCGGATCGGTATCACTGCGGTAAATTTTGAACCACATCACTTTACATCTGTGATCTTTGATTTTTAATTTATACCAGGAAATCGAAGTGTCATACACAAGTCAGACTAACAGTCAAAGACTACAGATATTGTGGTATGTCCTACTGCTAAGATTTATAAGTAGTATATAGATGCACATATAAATATGTATGCTATCAGCAAGAATATTGGATAGCGGAAAGATGAATTTAATGAACGATGTTTGTGGAACAACATGGAAAACATGAAAGGAAGACAAAGAAGCACAGTATCGAAGACGTATTTTGCGCATATATCTGTACATCGAGTCGCCAATAAATAAGCACCAGTCACCATCAACAGGTGAGATTTAACAGAGGTTACTTCCTTCACTTATCTAGGCAGCCAGCATCGTTTCAACTACAGACGGATGGCGCGGATGAAGACGTGAAAGCCAGTCAGAATCGGAAAAGCAAGATACGTCTTCATCAACCTGAAATCAGTTTGGAAATCTTCTGTATGCAGTCAGCAAAAAAAACAAAATTTGGATTCTATTCAACATAAATGTCAAGTGAGTCAGTTCTTCAATACGAGTCAGACACTTGGCCAGAGTGTGACGAAGAGGATCTCCAATAGGCTACTGCAGACGTTTATCAACAGCTGCCTTCACTGGCTGGCTCCATACTGAAGATCAAATAGCCGGCTGGCCAGAAAGAATTAGTGACAAGAAACTGCACTGGAACAAACCAACCAAGAGCCGACTGCTCAACAAATATGTAGGCGAAGTGGGCATACACTGATGAGGCCGTCGAATGATATCGTGCTCATTGCAGGCCATCACTCGAGTGGAATCCAAATGGGAAGCGACGAGTGGGTCATCGCTTCGAGGATGACATGGAGATCGTGTGGCCAGCCAGCTGAAGAGGACAGCAGAAAGTAGAAAAAAGTGGAGATGTGTTGTTGAAGCCCTATGTTCCATTCGGAACCCAAGGGACTCTATGTTGAATCCAGCAGCAGAAGCGGAACCCAAGGGAATAATAAATAAAATATACATATAATAATTCCGTTACCAAATCCTCTTGTGTTTTTCCGTTACAATATCAGTGTTGTATCTTGGTTTGATAACACTACTAAACTTTTCTTCAACTTAGTCAAACTCTAATTAACATATTCTTTAGATGTAAACTAACTGTAGTTATGTACCACAAAAAGATACAAACAAATTGATCACTTAGATCTCTACTTGAAGAAAATAGTCTATATTATTTTGGATTTAACTGCACACAAAAACCAACCTTGTCTGTAGTTTACCATTTACAGGGGGAAAAATAGGAAATGAATCGTTTATGTATATCAGAGGATGTGTGAAGTAGGCGTTTGAGATACACTGTAATCTGATTTATATTATCTGGGACAGTAGATAATCAATAAGATTATATATATATATATAATGTAGACAGAGAGAGAGTACCGGTGTAATTGCGTATCAAGCATATAAAATAAATTGTTTTGGCGTCATTAGCATGGACAACGCTCATGATGATATTCACTTCAAAGATGTGTGGAAATCTATGCGTATAAATCTAATAGAAGAATGAATAGGGAAACTATCACATAGGATGAGAGTAATATTGAAACCAATAAATGAAAACAGATAAGTGATAATGTTATTACCATATATTATTATTACCACTACTATTACCATAATCGTTATTATTTCATTTCTAGTTGGGAAACTGTGGGTGTATTATTTATCAAAATGCATCCAGTGATAATATACATAAGGGATAAACAAACATGAATTGACCTTGAAAACAAACTGATTTCGAAGATCTTAGCCTCTAAAACCATGAAAGGAAAACAAATATCCGATTCATTTTATACTTAACACACACAACAGTGAATAATAAATAAACAGTGTGCAAAAACCGATGAAAATAGAGCAAGTTCATCTACATTATAGATAGTGGGTATCATTTTTCACCTTACAGTAGAACCGTTTTCAAAACAAACAAAAAATAATAGTTTCAAATGATCATTTAACAGTGATATGAAAAAAGACAGCAAAAATTTCAGGTAAAGTCAAGGATAACTGCAATACCATGTAATATTTTGAATAATAATAATATTTGACCTATCAGTAAAAGTACAGCAATTAAATAATAGGTGCGTCGGTGGCATAGCGGTTAGGATGCTCACCGACCATGCACATGGTCCGGGGTTCGATTCCCGGCCGACGCACTCCTTTACCTCGCTAATCCAGAAATAAAAGCTGGTAAAGAGAAAAGGTTGGACATGTGGCTAGCAACCCCATTCGGTAAAAATAAACGCTGCTACAGACACTTCAAGCTTCTAGCTTGTTCCACTGGGAACGTGAAGGAATAAAAAAAACTAAATAATACGATAACCTGTAAAGTATACTAATATTTTAGATGAGTCACACCATCAGTACCAATAAAAACGAATAATACATTGAATGTATGTTTTTGTTTCACTTCTTTATATTACGAGTCGAACAAAGAGCTTCAGAGTTGAAACCCTGAAGTTTCAATAGCTGTGGTGTTTTTCTTACACAGGTTGCGAGCCTTAAGCTGAAACTTCTTTTTTTTCTGGGCTTATTACCAACTAGTAAATTGTGCAAGATTTAGGAGTGTGTCAGCATTGCCAACCCCCCGCAGCTGAACCGATATACAATAACAATCTGAAGAATTATATTATCAGCTTGTGGAAATTTCCTTGAAGACGAAAGGTAACAGACAAACAACATAAATACATTTGAATTATTTCATATTGTTGTTATTCAACAAAGATACTATGTAGAAAGCTAGTGAAAGAAAAAATTTCTAATAATGACTAGAAACTATCGTCAATAAAAAGGCAATGACAGTAATTGGAGAGATCATTGTCCTACATAATGAGATGAAGGCAATTCAAAATCCGTAATTCAGCGTAACAACTCTTTGGAAGTTTATGAAAGAGTGACAATAATGTATGCAATATAACCGTTGAGCTCGATAACATCACACTGTTGCACACTATAATTTGAGGCCAGAAATTAGATATCTGAATGGCAATGTCTAATTCTATTACGACAATGAGTGCCAAAAAATATACATTAAATGATATGGACGAGTGGAGACCTGTTTAAAACTTGAGCTACCAAAATCTTTCATCTCTCTACTGCATATATTCTCTCTCGTTCGGTTTGTTTTAATCGATTAAGATATGACGTCTAGTGGTATTATCTACTCTGGTGTGTACTTAAAATGTTTACAAGCTTCTGATTCGCAAGTCCCTAATAAACTTGAGGAAAGGTTTGATTGTGCGTGGCAACGTGTTCCAATACATGAGATAACCGCTGTTCAGTTATTTCCTTCTAAACATCTCACAATTGGCTTCCAACCAGATATCGTGAACTTCTTG